TTCTTGAAAGAGTTGTTTCCCTCTCGTTCCCATTCTTTTTTGGTACCTTGGTTTATTCGGAAGTTTTGGTTAAATTCAAACATCCTGTTCATGTCGTCTCTTGGAGCCATGAGTATCGGATGGTCTTTCCATAGTTTATTGCAATCTCTCCATTTTAGTTTTATTTCTGTTGGAGGTTTCTCTTTGGTAAAATTAATGATGGTTTTCTGCGCTGTCCTTATTACCATGTGGTGTAAGGGGTCCCAGTACGTTTTCCTTGCTAATTGTAGGACATGTTCTCATTGCTCCCGTTATGCAGATGCATGCAAGTCTCTGTATTTTTGTGAGTTCTTTTCTTTTAGTCACTTGTTCTGCTTTATCAGCCCAGGCTATAGCTCCGTATGTAAGTAAAAGTCTTACTATCATGCTGTACATAGCAGGGTTTGCAAGTGTAGTAAATGTATCCTCTTTAGTACGCTTATACGCCAAAATGATCCAAATTTATTCACCTCTCAATTCACCTGCAAATTTTTTTCACAGAATTCACACTAATTAGTTTACAAAACGTTTTAATAAAAAATCAAATATTCTTTCACCAACCCTGAATTCGAACCCTAACTAACTCTAAATAGGCTTTTTCGATGGGCGGCAGGACCTCTACTATTGGTTACCTCTTAACCACAAAAAACATCTTGGCAGTATGTTTATATCGGCAGCTTCCTTCAGAAATTTATATCGTAACTGGGTCCAATTGGGGCTTTTGGTTCACTTCAACTGTTATCGAATATCCATCATTTTCAAAAATTCACTAATTTCGTGGTCCGCTTGACCAATTAATATATTTCAATTAATTAAGGTTTTTAGATGAAAAATGGCAAAAAGGAGGGAAAATTCAAAAGGTGGGATTGACATGGGAAATTAGTGTCCGAGTGGATCGAGGTCACGATAGCTCAAGTGGTAGAGCAGCGGCGTATCTAGCTGAAGATCGTGGGTTCGAATCCCGCTCGTGCCATTGACTTTTTTATCTCAACTAAAAACCTTAATTAATTGAAATTTTCAAAAATTGTCGATAATAATTAATTTTACTCCAATGGAAAGAATGAACCAACAAATGTAAGTCGGATGCGGACCCCCTAACAGTTTCCTCTTCAAATGGCGACGAGTTCAATTAGTAACCAAAGCGATCGAGTTCGCCCGGTTTAATATCCTGAGCGGCAACTTGCTTAAAACTTTATCATTTCGTATTTTGCCCAATTTCGCCCAATTGCGATAACACTTATCAAAGTTAATTACACAGGGGAAAAGTTTTCCCGATTGATGAGAGTGAAGAGCGTTTTTCGTTATTGCCCCTCATTTCTCAACACAAAGCAGACTTTCCTATTTCAAGACGTTTTATTTATTAGCGTCTCCTTACAAATCCAACTTCCAAATTTTAACGTTATCTAAAAATGATTTGTAAAAGCATAACATGGTTGCGTTTGATTTATTATTATTAAATATTCTCAATAGTTTGGAAAACCCCTGAGAGAAGACATCAACACGACTACATGCAATTGTATCATTACACTACTAGACACAACGTCCATTTGGCAACATAAACGGAATACATACTTCACACAAAACCATCAGATACCCCTCAAGCTTCAAATAACATGGAAAAATATGATAACCTAAGAAATAAACAAGCACAACAAAAATCCCAAAAATACACAAATCAATAACAACCGCAAGGACATTAACGAATCCATTTTAATCTTAACCTATTAACTTGAGTTTTTATTTAAAAAAATGTATTTTATGTTTTTATAAAAAATAATAGCCGAAAAAGAACAATAAGAAAAGAAAATAATAAGAAAAGAGCATGGTACCAAGGATGTTGCCTTGTGGAACACCTACTTTCGTCGGTGGGAGAGAAGGATGTCCCTCGTACTTGAAAGCACCTATCGGGCATACAGGATATTGGGATGAGGTAATAAGTTAGTTTTAGTATACACTTGGGTTTTAAGAGCAAGAACACAATTCCTTCCGCTCTAGGGGTGTTGTTGTTTTCGAAAACCATTTCGAATTATTAAAATAGTGTTAACGTTGAAACTACTTTACCTATCCACATGGACAATTCTACATGAATGTAGAGCTTTATACACTACATGCAATTTTCGCAAGAACAAAAACGTGGTCATCTTAAATAAATCACATCTGGAGATAAAATAAAACGTTTGAGTAGTTTTTGTTGATTGCATACTTATTTTATTATTTATAATGACATAAAATCTCAATTTAGTTGACATTACAATTAATTAAGATTTTTAGTTGAGATGAAAAAACGTTAATGGCACGAGAGGGATTCGAGGCCACGACCTTCGGCTAGATACGCCGCTGCTCTACTACCTGAGGTATCGTGACCTCGATCCACCCGGACATCAACTCTCCTCTTTTCATCTCAACTAAAAACCTTAATTAATTGTCATGTATTAATTGGTCAAGCGGACCACGAAAGTAGTGAATTAATGATTTAAAAATGAAGTACACTTCACTAAAGCTCTCCGTCGCCATTTCAATTGTCGTCGAGGATCCAAACCGATTACACGACATTTGAAAAATGGCAAAAGGAGGGAAAACTCATAAGGTGGGGTTGAGATGGAGAGTTGATGTCCGAGTGAATCGAGGTCACGATAGCTCAGGTGGTAGAGCAGCGACGTATCTAACCGAAGGTCGTGGGTTCGAATCCCTCTCGTGCCATTAACTTTTTTTCTTCTCAACTAAAAACCTTAATTAATTGTCATGTATTAATTGGTCAAGCGGACCACGAAAGTAGTGAATTAGTTGACATTGGTTGACAGAAATGAGCACACTATTGGAGGAGACGGGCCTCTAAGACCTAGGCTACCAACTTAAATCTAAAAGCTGCCTCTTTCAAACAGAACAAAAAAGTCACAATTCTGAAACATCTTCACCAACCACTACAAATCTTTACAGGGTTTAGAAGGTTATATACTTAAGTAACTTAACCAGATTTTCAACCCTACACCCTACACATGGTCTCTGTATATAAATTAATACCGGAGATATTAAATAAACCATCTGGAAAATTTCCTTAATTTTTTTGCTGATAACGATTTGATGTCTAAACCTTGTTGACGAAATGCAAAGAAATTAAGCTTTCTAGCGGTTGTAAAAGTTTTGAAATTTGATCCAATCCATTGGTGTTATGAATTTTTAAGTTGAACAACAGCGACAGGACAACAGCGGAAAAAACTTTGGCAATTCCAGCCAAAAATATGTATTTTTTGTCCGATATAAAAAAATCATATTGAAAGTAGAAACATCTTTGCGTTTTTGGAACTTTTTATATATTCAGTCCAATTTAATACGAGTCTGCATATTATTTCCTTATTTTAAACGAATTTACTTGTATAGCATCCTTGAAATGCATGCAAAACGAATGCATAAATAAATTAGAACCGGGTATACCAAATAAAACGTTTGAGGGAGTTTTTTTTAAACATTTTTAACCTACTTTGCAAGAAGCTTGTTTTCGGTTTTGTAATTTTCTTTTGGTAAAGACAAAAATCTTGCAATACGTGCATAATAAAAATATATACTTATTTAAATTGCTTAAAATATTTCTTTTCGCCACCATGGGCAAGGTTGGACATGTGCCTAATGTTTTTTGATCTAGTATCACCAAAAAGTTTCATTTTCACGGCCGTAGGATCATCATAAGTTAATATTTTTATAAATTTCCTTTACCGGTGTATTAAAAATTAAATTTCCTGTCTTATGTCTTCTACAAATATAAATTTTGATGAACTCTAACTTTTCATCTTTATTATCGTTCCTGACATTCTTCTCATGTTTCAACGGTAGTTTTGGTTCACTATTCATTCTAAAATATTAAAAAGGAAATTTAACACATTACCTTATTAAATATGCAGCAGTAGATAGCTATGTATTAATAATTTTTATTATTATTAAAAATAATAATTTTTTCGGCAGGGAATCATTTTAGGGATTTTTTCTTCCTTGGCTTTAATATTCCTAGTGAGGAGGCAGAGAGGGCGTCGGTGGCTGCAACGGTTTAGGCATTGACACGACGCTCATCACTGTAAGGTGAAGGTCCCGGGTTCGAATCCAGCGTGAAAAAAAATATTCCTAGTCTAAGCTAAAAAAAACTTTGTGGCATATAATTAGACTGTTTTAATCAATTATTTAAAACGGTGCTTTTTCACCTTCTTGAGCTATACAACTAGGATTATTTGCTATCGTTTATTTTTTAATGAGCTGCCACAGAAATATGAAACTAATCCTAATTCCACCCAAGGAATCATCTGATTACTTATAACGTTAAATGATTATTTTGATCTGTTCTGTTTATCACAGCTTGGCTTTTCAAAGAGTCAAAATGACATTATAACCGTAGTCCGATTAAACCGTGATATTTTATATAATGCCAATATATTGACAATAAAATCTGGCTAATCCAATGAAAGGCCTAATTACGAACAGAGAAATAAAATGAGTATGACTGACCGATGGTCCAACAGCTTGAAGAAAATAAGTTACTACAGAATAATAAACCGATCTAGTGTGAATTTTTGCTACATCGTCTTTTGAAATTGTGTGAGTAATAAATTAAGTATAATTATTATCAGAAGAACGGTATCGAGCCGGAGGTATTCTGGGTGACTAACACCGTTCAAAAGGGACATGAACAAAAGGGACTCTAAGGGGAGTTCCTTGTAGATTTATAGTGGATGCAATAACGTGCATTGACTAGACGTCCAGGCATTGTTCCAATAATATATAATGAATTCAATAATTTCAGAACATGCTTTGTTGTCTAAAGCTCTGCTAATCCTGAGTTTCATCGTCTACTCTATTAACAATTGTACAGTTTTAGCATAGATGTACATACTTCAATTATGATTTGTGATTCGTTTTAATTTAAACAGGGTTTTTTTTATGATTGAATGAAGTTAAATCTATATCACATTTATCAGACACATAACAAACTGTTCCAGGGTGTTGGAGAGGTGCGTCTGGAAGGGGGTTTCGGCAGTTCGCCCAGTAGGACTGTGTTCATGTATTCGGCAACGACGACACCCGGTGAACCAGGGGTGACACTACAATTAAGAGAACCAGAGACCAGCCAAGAAAAAACGGAACTGAACTCGGTCCTTGCACGGATTCAGCAAGAAGAAGCCGCTGCAGGTTCGCTCAGCCTGAGCTATCACGATCCTGATATCATCACCGACGGCAGCATCGATGTCCTTCTTGGAGCAAACACCATTTCCACAGGGGGTAAGGCACACAGAAATATTGTCACTCGTTTTACATATTAGCCAAAATAGTATGTCAATGAAAATAATTTTTTGGGGTAGGGGCAGGGATCAGAAATTTGTGCCGACGATTCCCAGTTCACCAATTGGTTATAAAAATCATCAAATAAGAAGGATAATCCGGGTTTTGCAAAAATTGCAAGTTTTATATATTTTGATTTTTTCAGAAAACTTTGCATGCAAGCCATGCTTATTTTTTAGATAAGTAATAAATAAAATAATAAAGGAAGGGTTAAGATCCAACTACGAGTCGGCTGAGGACGAGGGGTCATACCAAACTAATAACAACCAATTTTCAACATAGATGTAGATGTATTGTTTGGGGTGTGTCATGTACTGCGCTCATTGATAGCTATTTTATCCCCTGCTCTGTACCTATAGCACACCGGTGACACGTAGTTTTTTGAGATATTTGATCATTATGCCCGGTTTTATTGGTTGAATTTTTTCGTTGTGCTTTCCAAAACACTTCCCCCTGAGGGAAAATGTAACACCACTGTTTGTTAGTACGTGGGTTGATATCTTCTCTGCTTCTTTGCACGATCTGCACGTGCTTGTTGGTTGTACTCATCTTCCTTTAACTAGTTATCGATTTATTATTAATTATTATTTCCAATTTATTTAGAAATCGTGAGATGCGGTCTGGTGTGATGTAAATTTCAGAAAATCATTTTATTTATCGTGCCAACGTTTCGATCTTTAGTAAGATCATCTTCAGGGCCTGGGATTTACAAACATTGTTTACATATAACAATTACATTTTGGATGTGAAAAAGTAAATTTATACAATAAATTGTTCATTGAACATGTAATTGTTATATGTAAACAATGTTGGTAAATCCCAGGCCTTGAAGATGATCTCAATAAAGATCGAAACGTTGGTACGATAAAGAAAATGATTTTCTGCAACCTTCATCCCACCATACCGCATCTCACGATTTCTAAATAAATATCGATTAACGGTCACTAATCACCACACATTATTTCCAATGGTTATACACAGACCGTTGAGAAAAAACATATCCCACTTCCGGGTTCGAATCCCGCTCGTAACACTAATTTTTCTTCTCAACTGTCTTTGCATAAAAATTGGAAATAATAAACCAATATTCTTGAGATGCCCATTCAGTCTGCAATTGCCTGTCAAGAATATTGTCAGGATTCATAGTTTTTCCTACTTCCTTTGATGCAGTCTGTTGTTTGTTTCCTTCCCAATTTTTCTATAAGTCCATTATATTTAGTGGTCTATTAACTAAATTACTTCTTTCAATTAATTAATCTTTTTATGTAAGGTCTTGGTTGAAATGAAAAAGTTAGTGTCAAGAGCGGGATTCGAACCCACGACCTTTTTATCCTTCTGTCTGTGGTGTAAATTGGTAGAGTGGATTCCTATGCCACAGAAGGCCCCAGGTCCTATCAGTGGGCATCCCCATTCCTGTCAAGGGCGTCGGTTTTCTTGTTACCCTCTACACCTGGGAACCAGCAGAGGGTGAATTAATTGTGCTACCTTGTTAACTAATCTGTTTGGTTTAGTTACGCAATTCAGCACCATCTTTGAGCTAATGATGTTTGTACTTAATGCTTTGTCTTGTTTATTAATCTTTGTTCAAGTTGAACTGGGTATATCTCTCAACTACATGGAATTCAGCCTGGAAGATGCTAGTGTATTTTCCCATGGGTTCTGGGAATTTCTTTCCAGCACCAAACAGTTCTAGTTTTATACCCAGCTGCGTTCTAGACCCGTCAGTGTATCGATGGTAAATTTCCACATAAATCAGAGAGTTTATTTATTTTTCGCTTTGATTACTGGTTACAACTTTAGTTCTTTACATACATGATGGTAGAGAGTAAAATGACTGTCTGAAAGCATAGAGAAAATATATCGTATATTAAATGTCAAAAAAATTGTTACCCACAAATAAAATAAGCACTGATACATTTTTCTTTGAAATCTAGTTTTTTAGTATGATATACACCTCAACCTCAGAAAGCTCCTGGATTTGATCTTACTACGCATAACAATCTCAATAATCTTTTTTTTTAAAAAGCAATATTCTTCCAGTATTTTTCGGTTAAACTTTGATTCAAATTTTTTGACCGCTTATTTCTATACTACTCCAGATTTTTTCGTTAAATGAAGACATTTATTATCTCTAACATCATAGAATTAACGCTAATTGCATTACAGTTCTTTCAAATTTAAATCAAACAAAATATCTGTAATTTTTGCCTTTTTTAGAATTCCTTTTTCTAGCATTCTTGTAAAAAATTGTTGTTGTATAAAAAAAGAGGATTTGCAGAATCAAATTTTCTGCAAAAATAAATTACGATCCTAAAAAAAATCTAAAACTGAATGGCTTGTGTAAAAATGACACATAATCGCACTACCACCTTAGTCGAAAAATAATTATTACAAACCCCTCAAGAACATAAAATTTAAAAATAAATTATGCAAATATTACCGACTTGTGTGTTATTTCTTATTTGAAAATTTGGTACACCGAAAATTACAAACTCTATTTATTTAAAAGTAATTACTGTCGTACAGGAAGGTTTAACGTCCAATTAATAGTAGGATTTCGCGGACGAGGGGTCAAAGCACTTTATAATACATTTTTCATAATCTTATCAACCAAAAAGCCATGGTCTCTGCCGTGATTCGAACCGAGGAACGCTAGCGTGAGCAAGACGAGTAGGACGCCCTAACCGCCCGGCTGACGCAACCCCTTCAGATTTTATTTGATTTATTTTTTGTTAAAATATTTTTTGAGCCAATTAGCGAGAATTCTATGATAATAGAGATGATAAATCCTTTTACCGAACAGAAAAATTTGGAATTGTCCAGAATTGAGAGGTCAAGTAATTTTGATAATGCTGATATAATATTTTGGCGTACATTTAGCCTTAAAACGGTAAAATTGTTCTCAGAATTGGTTATGGGGATAAAATAGAGGATTTCCGCAATTTCAGTAATCCGATTTAAGTTTGCTTAGTAGCATGAGATATTGTGTTATGAAACATTTAAAATGTAATGGTTGTAGTGCCCATTAAAAAAAATACAAAATTCATTTTGTATCGACTCTTTTTTCCAGTTTAAAATAACACCGAACGGTTTCGTGGTTAGTTCATTCGAAGCTTTTTGTTTATCATTTTCAGAGGGAATTTGCAATCTAATGGTTGCCATTTTAACTTTTTGCAATTCAATGTTTTTTAAATATTATTAACCACATCATTGCAAAATAAATTTTTCCGACCTAAAGATTTTTTTTCATCTAACTCGAATCGTCTATTAAAGATGATATCCTCCGAATTTTTAAAATCTTGAATTAAAAGCTCATAGTCTTTCTTCCAGGAATATAAAGTAGTTATCATTTTTCTCGAAAGAGGTGCACGAATTCCCAAGGGGAAGCAATTTAGGGTTGTTACGGAAGGGGTGGGGAAAGAGGAGTGGTACACTGCTAATTCAATCATCGGGTCTATGGCGTTTTGTCTCATAAATAATTTAAGGAGTGTCGGTCGGTGGTCCAAAGTTGGCCTCGGCATTTAAAAGTTGGTAATTGAGCGGTAAGATGAGAAAGCCCAAGAGAAATTATGAAAAGAAAAGGGGACGAAAACCTTATCTACCTCCAACAGGCCGTATTGTCTCTATGTACTATCAGCACACACTTTTGAACTACGTTCTTTGACGGATAGGACTTCATTATCTTATTTTACTTCGAAGAAAAAAAAATCACATTTAATATGTTCTTCATCCCTTGTCTTTTATACTGTAAGTATGGAAACTTTAATGCTAAAATCATTCCTAATAGCCTTTGGAGAAAAGTCTGACATCATTCAACCTAAATAATTAATACAAATGTAGTTTTAAAACTATGCAATTTATATTAAAAAAATTCTGTCAGCCGTTCATATAAAAAAGCTCAAAGCATTTTTTTAATAACTCATAATGATTCTTTAAGTTAATTTTTTATTGCACAAAAAAAGGCCCAATTTGCCAGTTTAGCCTACGAAGCTTTGTGCCAGTGGAATTTTGCCGTGTTGGTTATACCCTCGTCTTAGAAATCGATGAGCCATCGGACAGTTGAACAGTGCAGCGTAATCATTTTCCGTCCTAAACTTTGGTTAATCAACTAGGCTTCAAAGACCTAGAATAAAATGACAGGACCCATTCAATTCATATCTTCTTTTTTTCGATTCGTCCTTTAATTTGGAACTGTGGCAAAAATATAAGTCCTAATTAAAGATTTTTGTACAAATATGCGAGGTAATTTGTTATCCTAGATATATTTCTTTATACTTTATGCTTCATGAAAGCACACCAATAGATAACAGTTCACGTTTGGTAAGCACCATCTGTGATATAGGTTTACTAAACTGGGAAGGGTTTATAAACCTGACGGATTTAGAAATGGAGCTGTTAGGGTAAAATGGATCATAAGATGTGGAGATCTTCAGGTCATCATTCTTTAAAGCTTCGTTAAGGATTCTTAAGAAGGAATAGCGTTGAGATGGCTGGAGCAGTAAGGCTAGGATGGTTCATGGGATGTGGAAGTCTTAGGTCATCATTCTTTAAAGCTACGTCAAGGATTCTTAAGATAAAAAAGCGTTGAGATGGCTGGAGCAGTAACGCGAGGATCGTTCGTGGGATGTAGAGGTCTTGAGGCGATTGTTCTGTAAAGCTTCGTGAAGGATTCTTAACACAAAAAAGCGTTGAGATGGCTGGAGCAGTAGGGCTAGGATGGTTCATGGGATGTGGAGGTCTTGAGGTCATCCTTCTTTAAAGCTACGTGAAGGATTCTTAAGACGAAAAAATGTTGAGATGGCTGAAGCAGTAGGCCTAGGATGGTTCATGGGATGTGGAGATCTTGAGGTCATCGTTCTTTAAAGCTTGTGAAGTAATCTTAGGACGAAAAAGCGTTGAGAGGACTGTAGCAATAGGACTAGGATAGATTATGGGAAGTG